GTGTATTCGCTTGAGCAAGTGTTTGTTCGGCTGCAAAAGACTTCACTGGTGCTCAACCTAGAAAAGTGCGAATTCAGACAAGGTACAGTTAATTACCTAGGGAAACTAGTCGTCATGGTATGATCAAGCCCCTGGATGTAAAGGTCCAGACTTTTCGAATGTGGTTGCACCCCTTAGTTGCTTTGCAAAGGGGCAAAGTTCGTTGGGTCCCTCGTGTGCCAGGCCACCCTCAATGCTGTTAAACTGTTGCTTAGCAGTTCCCCTGTTTTGGCTGCCCCAGACTTCACTAGGCCCTTCAAGCTGGAAGTACACTCTAGTGGCGTGGGTGCTGGTGTGGTCCTTCTGCAGGAGGATCGCCTGGGACCCAGTATGCTATTTCTCTAAGAAATTTCTGAAGCACCAATTATCTTATAGTGCTATTGAAAAAGAAGCGCTAGCCCTCTTTTTGGCATTGCAACATTTCTAAGTGTACCTGGGAGATATTATTTAACCAGTGATCGTGTACACCGACCATAATCCTTTAGTGTTTTTAAAACGCATGTATAATACTAACCAGTGCCTCATGCGCTGGGCCCTGATTCTCCAGTCCTTTAACCTGGAAATAAGACATAAGAAAGGTGTTAGCAATCTGGTGGCCAATGCTCTCTCCTGAGCTTGACTGCTACCTCTGAGTGTTTGTTCTTCTGGTCTCCTTTTCTTTGTGGTGGGCATATATATATTTTTTTGGATACTTATGATTGTGACTGAATGCCTATCTGGTTCACTCTTGTGGGGGGGGGGGGGGTGTTACGTGCCGTAAGTGTTTTCAGGAGGTCCTGGCAGATTCTCGTCGCCATTCGCTGGTTGCTCCCTTCGGCTCCGCCTCCTGGACCTGGCCACGCCCTTCCCGTCTTCGGTGCTGCTTCCTGTTTCCGCAAAGAAAAGGCCACAGCTCATAACCTCGAAAGCTGTGCTCATTGTTTTGGATTTTTGGTTCGATTGTTGTTCATTTGATTGCTTGTGTATGACAGTTTTTAGTTTGTCATTTTTGCTTCGCCCTTTTCTGGTACTTGATGATGATGAATGGTGATAATGATGAAAAAAACATTTATTGCTGTTTCAATATATCATGTCACTAGTCACAAGTATCACATTATATGGGGTAGACAGGTCAGGAAGACGGGGGATATAGGAGTAACAGAGAAAACAGAATTACATGAGGAGAGAAGAGGAGAATAAAAAAACAGCCCCCAGACTGTGCTCCAGTACGCAGTACAATGTAGGAACAAAAAAAAACACCTCAGCAACATAAGCACATAGTCACTACACCATACAACATAAAAAGTCGTGACTCACAACAGGGTAGGGAAATGCGGAGGTGGAGGTAGTCCAGCATAGACAAACAGCCATCCGATCCAGCAGCCAAATCCAGCGCTGGTCACAGACCCGCCTGTTCACGCTGTGGGTATGAAGCGGCGAAGGCCTGGGTTGTGGGGAAGGTGCAGTGAGTGCTTATCTGTACTTATGTATATGTGTGTGTATCCAGGTGTCCTTGGGATTTGGGGAGAGGAATGCAAGAGAGTCTCACTGCCTTGTTCTTCCGGGGGAGTTGTTGAATTCAGCAGCGGCCTTGGCCAAGGCCAGTGCTGATTAGGGGGGAGCCAAAAGCAGATAGAATAGGGTTGTTTCGGTTTTCGGGCAAGAAGCTGTAATTTCGCAGCTCCTCTAATGTCCACGCTGGTCTCCGCCATCCAAAATCCTTTGCAAAGCCATGAGCTTTGCAAAGGATTTTGCACAGATATCCAATCTGCGATCAATAGTCACAGTGATGTTATCAAATTTGCGATCTATAGCCACAGTCTGAGTGCCAACAGCTCTGCCAACTCCATCAATCATCCCGGCCAGCCTAGTTGGGCTTTGAGCGGCTGTCACCGTTTTCTTCAATATTCGACAAACCAGGCCAATGCCTAATCCAATCAGCATAATACCTGTAATCATGGTTCCAAATAGGTAGATATCTTCGATGTCCTCCACAGAAAGAGCTGCCACACACGACCCTCCACTTCTCCCATCCATCCATCATGTAGCCAGCTGCATACGTTCCTGCAGGACAGTCAGGTTCCCCCAAACCTGTGGTTCTCTTCGAGAAGATGTTGTCAATTGCGTTGAGAGACCAGCTGATCAAATCCATGATTTCCTTAGTTTTAAAGAGCAGGGCTGAGAGAGTCTCTCAAGTATAAGAGACGAGACGAGAGGAGCAAAGCAGGGGAAGATAAGGAGAGGGAGAGAAGTGCTGAGAGCTGAAGACTTCTGCCTTGGTTTGTTGTTTTTCTGGTTTGAACCTCTGCCTGTTTTTTGACTACTCTTTTGCTTTCTCCCTTTGGTACCGTTGCTTGGTTTTGTGTGCTTGCTGTGTGTTTGTACCTAAGTGTGTAAGGAAATGACTGCCTTTTTTGTTCTGTGTGACACATTGCTTAATTGTTGGTTTGGTTAGGGAGCTAATGATTAGCATTGTTGCTTTATTTGTGTTTTGTTTGTCACGTATAGGATGTAAGGATTAGCTTAGCTTGGGTTTCGTTCGGTAGTGGTGTTTTGTTTGTTATTTTGGCTTCTGTCACTCCCGTAGTTTGATATACCTAGTGTACCATAAAATAATAACAACAGGGAACAAAGTAACACAAGGTACAGGACTAAAAAACAAACCAAACTCTTAACACAGCAACATGGGCATGAACATGAAGAATGACAGACTGAGGACAAGAACACAGGCAGGCACTAAAATACAAATAGACAACCGGGTTAACAAGGGGAGAGGTGGGGCACATGAAACAAAAACTAAAATAAGCAAAATAAAAACAGTTGAGGTTAGTTTCAACCCCCAAGTCTCAAACCCATGAACAGCAGGTTCAGTCTGAGCCACACACTAAATCCACTGAGGTATGCAGTGGTTTAGGGAGCAGAGAAGACACACTGGAGATTTAGGACAAAGGCAGAGGAGGGAACGTGATGGACAGCAGTGCCTGCTGGTCAAAGGGGAAAGCACACAAGAGAAGGGAGCAGAAGGCACTGACCCTGACAGTGGGGGACTGTTAAGGCAATTATTATAGCCCATAAATGTAATTTTACAACGAAAATTGGATCTTTAAGCCTTAATAAAGGACAAGTAAGTGGCAATTGGCAATTTTAGGGGTGGGGCTTCCCCACTATATGTAAGGAGCAGTGGCTCAGCATCTCAGTTGAAAGCCAGAAGGTGTAGTGCTACATACTGTATAAAGCCTAGTGGGCATTGAATTAAAGCACAGATATACTAAGGCCTAGAGGGCAATTCAGTCAATGGGAAAAGCCTAGATAATGTCCTATTTACAGTGTTTTTCAATGATTTATTTAATGGACATACGGATAAATAGTGAATATAAACTGTCTTGGTGATACAGTTGAACTTCGGTACAATGTACCCTGTTTATAACGTTTACACCAATACAACATTCAAATTTCAATGTCCCGAATTCGCGTAATGCATTATTCCATTTGCCGGTATCGCTTAGAACGTGCACCTTTACCGTGTAAACTTCGATATAACGTATGATTTTCAGAGGAAAATAGGCAAACTGACCTTCGTTACAACATACAGCCTCATCTTCCAAGCGCGCGCACAATTCAGAATCGGCTGTTGCCGGCCATCTACATCGCTTAGCAACGCCTAACT